GCGCACGAAAATCGAGGTGACTCTAAATGAGGTTTTCAAGGCCTCAGAGTCATAGAATTCAATTAAAAACAGGTGATGACCCTTTGGATCGTCACATCTATTACTACAACTTGTAGCGGGGTAATATATATGTGAAAAGCTACCCGCTTTATTCTCCAGTTTGTACTACACAAACAAAAGAATGCCACAATAAAGAGAAGTTTATTGATATAAAAACCCATATCATAATAAACTTGGAGTTTATTGATAATTGCACACGTCATGGTGTAGATCTGAAGTTTATCAATTTTGATCATTTATCCGGTTGGCATAACTAGTTTAGCCATATCAGTTTAAGTATGATGTGCAAAAATAAAAGAGAATTCACATGGGTAAATATTAAAGAACTAGAAAGTTCTTTACGAATTCTCTTATGTTGCTTGTTCTTATTAATTGATAGACCAACTAAAATTGGGATTGAATCCCGTGAATGCTTGAGATTTCAAAGGTGAATATGGGCCCATTCACCTGCCATGTATACCACATAAGATGCATCTATGAGATGGTTACATGTGCGATTATTAATAACCCGCAACATGGTGTTTTGCGAGGTAACTTGATCGATAATTTAATTTCGAGCATAATTTCCAGATTTTCTATTCAAGAAGTTCATCTTGATAAGTTGGTTTACATCACAGTTGGTTTAGCAAAATAATTTCTTAAGTGCCTCTACTTAATAGCTAAATAATTACTTATGAGAACAAAGTTATCTATATCAGTTTGATATACGTTATATATGAAAGTATATTATATTCTCCCCTCACAAGTGGTTTCAGGGCCAGGAATCAAATAATTCTATCTCATTATTATTGATGTGCGGTGTATATTTTGATTAACACCATAACGCACAAAGATGGGTTTTCAAAGTTGAGGAAGCAAGTTAGTTTTTCTAATATGAGGGGGATACAAGATAAATAGTTGAGAAAAAGTTACTGAATGAATTATCATTTGTATATCTAGATCCTCGAATACGATAATATGAACTTGAAGTTCATAAAAAGGATAATTCATCTTCAACATATTGCAAAGTATGCTTGTTGACCCAAAGAATGTAACTATATTCTCATTTCAAATGCTCTTATTAAGTCCTACAAGGACGTCTATGGTACGCTTAAAGCATATAGACAAATCGGTTTCAAATAAACTTCTTAATATAGAAGATGAGCAAATGATCAAAATGATCATAATAAGGAGGCAAGTGATCTAGAAGATCACATGACATAACACTTCATAAAATCTCAAGAGAGATTTAGGTACCTGAAAATATGAATGAAGAGATCTCTATGTTATGTCTTTATGAAAAAATATTGAAAATGATATAAAATGTTCGTCGACGAAATCTATAATAGCTCTAAAGACATATGAGGATCTTAAGTCTAGAGAAACAATTCAAGTAGAATTGGTTTCATATGAACGACATGTTGTTTTGGACCTATAGTTCAAACACTTGAAAGTATAAAGCCAATGATATGTGCAATCAGTTTTCGATATCTTATATGTCTAGCATGACATGAAAACTTGATATGCATCTAAAGTCTATTATATGACTTAACTTATATGCCAATCCATGAAGGATTTAAGTTGCTTGAAGCATATACAATTCTTGATCTTGAAGTACCACTTCCTCGGTGCAATTTGTGCACAAATGTATCTTGCTATAACTATAGGCGTGATAATATGATACCAAGAGTTTTCACCTCTATGTGAAGATATTGAACTGACGATTCCAACAAGATCATATGAAGACAATTCATCTCTATCAAGAATGATGATTTCAATGTGCAATATATTCATTCAAGTTAATATGGCTTATTTGTTCATCAAATCTCTACCAAAGATCTTTTGAAGATGGTGCACAAGATTGGAATGCAAATGCTTAAAGATGTGAATTGATGCTCTCATCAGGGGGAGTTAATACGCGTTGTACTCTTTTTCCCTTACAAGCTTTTGTCCCACTGGGTTTTCCTTGCAAGGCTTTTAACGAGGCAACCAAAAGGCGTATTGTTAGATATGTGTACTCTTTTTCCTTCTCTAGAATTTTTTTCCCACTGGGTTTTATTTTAGTTAAGGTTTTAACGAGGCACATTATCTGTTGAATAGACATTCAAGGGGGAGTGTTATAAATAGAATTTTATTTACGGTGAACGTCTATATTTAGAGAGATTCTAGGGTTTATTACTTGGTGGCTAAGTCACCCTCTCCCTATAAATAGAGGGTTCTATTCCATTGTAATTCATTCCAAATCAATAATAATTCTTTTTCTCTACTTTTCTCTGCAATACTCTTCTTGTTTTATTGTTTTATAACAGAATCAATATTTTAATTAAAAAGTACTCCAGTATGTCTTGAACCCAAATCTAACGCTTAGTGGTGAGATATTTAAACTTTGAAATTTGAATTCCTAAATTGTATTTTAAGGTAAATTATAGTTCTTATATTTGATTCCTAAGTATTAGGATTTTGAATTATAAAAGGAAAATTCTAGTTGATATAAATGACCTAAATATTGGGATTTCCTATTATAATAAATAAGTTTTAGTTGATTTTAAAATCCTAGATATTAGAAAATTAATAAAATGACTATTTTATTCGATGTGAGGTATGTTTTTAAAGGGTAAAAAAAGCGAACGACATTTCGCTAAGATCCGTCGTGCTTTTAATATAGTATACTAGTTTCTATGTTCGTGCATTGCACGTATATCTCTTATCAATTGTTATAAAATATATTTTAAAAAGATAAGTTCTTAATTGCATGTATTCACCAAGTCCATAAATAAAAAATAGTTAAATATTGCTTGAACCTTCCAAGATGGATAACTAAATTAGATAATTGGTGTCTTTGCTCTAGATTTCCAAATACTAATTATAGAGTCATACTATAAAGCATTTATTTTTTCTCTACCGATATTTAATTATCCCTTTTTCAAATATAACCCATTATCCTTGTGAGGAATAATCTCATATTGACTTCGCAATAGCTATATAAATCTCTCATTCTCCCACAATTACATATTTGTTTGGAAGGATCAACGTTCCAACTTCTCTTTCGCTTCTATGAGGATAGAAGTTCCAATGATGGTTAAGTCTAAAGCAATTACTTTTGTCAGATAATTCCAATAAAATTAAGATTCTAATCTAAAGTCCATCTTATCCAATTAGAACTTGATCGGAACCATTTAGTTATGCAATGAAGAATTGAATTAGATGTGCAATCTCTAATCCCAAGTAAGCTCATTTTTAGAAGGTAATAAAATTCCATTTTTTCAATTGAAATGGTAAAAAGTTCTACAAAAATAAGAGTGACAAATACTATAGATTTAAATTTAAAGTTTAAACTTTGCTTCTTTCTACAGCAATATCACAAATTATGTGCAATACTCCCTAAAACGTTTATGATAATTATGTGGAACAACACTTTCTTTTATAGAAATATTTGGCTTGTTCTTTTTCTACATGAATTCATGCAATAAGTCTAAGTTCCATACAAACTGGAAAACCAAATAGCAAGCTTACACGTACTAAATATTTATATTTATGGGAACAGTGATGTGCAAAACTAAACAAATACAAACTTCAACTCTACATGTTATTTCATGCACACATCCTGTATTGTTTAGCTCCTCATGTCCAGGTTTGAGCACGAGTATTTGTGGTGCTTAAGGTGATAATAATTTCGTGTAATTATGAACAATAATTTTTTAAAAATAAAATTATGGACGTGTCTTTCTAATGAAGTATTTTTAGACAGTTGAATTTTAAAAACTTTACATATTTCGACTATTCTCGCTGTCCTAAAAACGACTATTTGAATAATTGGTCCCGTAAAATTTAACAGAAATTTGGTCCAGGCTCAAGGGTGGATGTAGCCTACCGGCTACGAATTTATTTGAACCCATAACTTTCGACATGGAATATATATGTATATTTAAAAACCTACTAAAATCTTAATAAATATTAAATCTGAATCACAATTTTAACAATACAATGAGTTTAATGCTGAAATTTTTTAAAGTTAAATCTATTAAATTTAAATCTTGAATCCGCTTTTGTCCGGGCTCAAATCAAAAGCGAGCTAAAATCCGATGACAAAAGAACAAAAACGATATATATGTGTATAGTATAGTGCAAGTTGCCAGGTTTATCCATCCTTATTAGGAGATTGAGCTGGGTTTCATACATTCTGGTTGTTGAAAATTGCCATGCACCGCTGTATCAATTGGTTGGGTAAGACGAATTCAGCATCTAGCTACTTTGTAGGGTGGACATATGTATGGTTTAAATCGAAAAATAATTTTATTATTGTATAATTTACAATTAGATCCTTATATTAAATAAATATTTAAGGACATAAAAGTCAATCAATGTTTCAGGGATATTTTAATCGTTCAACATTTAGCATAAATTATTTGTACTTTTATAATAATAAAATAATATAGATAGATAGATTATTAATGATTAGTGATGTATCACAAAATCAAATCTCTGTTTACCCTAATACTGCTAGAGATGATACTTTTATATTTTTGTTGTAGTCTACAACAAAGTAAAGTGTCATATTTTATAGGTATCTCATGAGATTAGTCTATCATATCACTAGTGATCAGAGTGAGTAGTACCTTAAATTGAATTCATGGTAAAATAGTCTATTGCTAGTCATTTTGGTCCCATTACTCCAATCTGTCTCAATTTATTTGACGTGGTACCTAGTCTAAAAAAAGAATATTTTTGAAGCATGTGATTTTAAAAGTTTAAAAGGTAAAAGTTTTGTAGGGTCATAATATTTGTGTAGCCATAAAAGCTTCTCATTAACGGTAAAATGGGTAAAATTGAAAAACTTAAAAGTCAAATTGTTTTCAAATATAAAAAGCAATATGCATGCTTGCAACTCCTCATACTTTGCTCGATTAAAAATATCAAGTCAAATTCCAAATGTTTACTAATGAAAAGAAGTTTTAAAAAAATTGAAAAAGTTATGTAAAATGATATACTGTGTAATGCAAACACCATGAAATGCAACTTTGTACAAGTAACAGGCGTGGAATATTCTCAACGACTCTCCTTCATCAATACAGTGCAAATTTAAAATAACGGAAATAAATGTAAGAATGAATCAAAATCTACTCTAGACCCTGTTTTTCTCTTTGCTATCATCTCCTCAATATGCAGCGCTTATCGGCAATCATTTTCTCTTAAATTCTATCCTTGCGCGCTTCGAGACTTCACTAGAGCAGAGCAGGGCTTACAAACTAAACGGCAACAGCTTTCTTCAAACTTGCCACATATGTCAAATAGATCGACCATGCATATGCGAATGCACTATTGGCCAATGGCTGTCAAAGAGCATTACCAAAAACATTAAACCTCATGAATGTTCAAAATACTAGGTTCGGAATAGTTGAAGGAGTTGATTTGAGCAATTTAGATAAATGTGAAATTGATGAAAAAGTAGAGTAATATATGCTCCCCAAGTCAGACCACAGAAACTGCGGATCATCTCATTAAAGATGATGCACTAGCTGTCATTAGAAAAAACGAGTATAATATAGTACCTGCAAATGGACAGGGATTACTTTATATGTCAAGAAATCACAAAACGGCCAGTACATTAGGCCATTCATCATTGTTGGGAGCAGGTCACGCTTCAATCTTGCAGCGATTTCCTCCCCATTCTCACCTGAATGTGACAAATGAGAAGAGTCAAAGTTGTAAATCATTTTTAAAAAAAAAGAGTAAATCATGTTGAGCCAATGAGACAGTAAGTGAACATATGCAATCATCAGACTTGGTGAAGCGGACAAATAATCCTAGATGACATATGCAGATTCCCCAAAAGAGAACTTCTAACTCTGAGGCAAAGAAAGAGCTTCCTATATAATTGATAGCGTAGTCATGAAACTCTCAAAGTTTCGTTAGTGATGGATCTTTAGCTTCACATCTATAGCAATGCCAACAGCTAAGAATGATGCCAAAGCTCTGTCTGATGGTAGAAAGCAAAAGCTAACCATCTTATCCTCTTTAATCATATTTACAATATGTATTGGCAGAGATTCAAAAGAGATAATACCATAAGAACAAACAGATCCATCAGTGTAATATTCAGAAGCTCGGCCGTGTACATGGTAAATTTAGATGATACCATTCAACTAGTCCCACAACTTAAACATCTTGATAGAATAATATGCATGTAGTTAAGAAGATTGTTGCAACTTTGCTACATGCATCAACGGGTAAAAATATGTTTCCTGAGTTCCGGTGGAAAGACGCACCAAGAATAGCAAAAAAACAAAATCACAATGGAAGATAACATCCCTATTGTGCCAATCAAGTTTTAGGCCAGAGCAATGTATCTTCTTAAGTTTCTCAAGAGATCAAATCTGATCATTGATAATCAGTATCTACTTATATTGAATGGATAACAGCTGAATGTCCAGCCAACCCTTTAGTATTAGTAACTCAATGGCAAGAAATGATATACTCCAGTCAAAGGTCCTTCCATTTTTAATTGGGAAATGGGCCAAAGTTACCCCCATCATATCTAATTTGTCTTATAGATACCCTCCGTTAACCTACTGGCTTATCAGAGCCTACACGTTTTCGTTTGACTTAAAATTGCCCCTACACTGTATTTGTAATAACTTGTCTTGAATTCAGCTAAACGGTGATGGAGAAGAACCATAACTATGTAACCCAATTCCTAATACATTGACCACTTTGTTCGAGTATGTAAGTAAATTGCAAAACGATCCAAGTACTAAATGCCCGAGTCTCTTTTGTGTCCCAATTCCAATATGATCTCTTGCTACATTAGCAAATATCACTCCTGAAAAGATTCCTATGGTTAAAAGAGTAAATCCTAAACTAATAAACAATTACTCCAATAATTCAATTGTTGAATCGATTTACCTTAAAAAGTTTTAGCAGGAAAAAAAGTATTTTATAAAACATTTTCGCCCGAGAAAAACCATTCGTTAAAAAAGCATTGCTCTTATAAAAAAAATTCTGACGATTGAATTTCTTTAACTTTTTCCCTCCTCAAAATTATTCTCCAATGATGACTTTTAGAGTGATTGGGATATAGCTGGTGTCCATTTACAATTTACTTAATTGACTGTTCACACTTCAATCAACCCTTCATGAATCAAGATTAAGAACCACAAGATACAGAATGAACATTTTCCAACTCAACCACTCACGAACCCACTCCCCTAGCCCCAATCATTAGCAACTCTTTTCTGGCCCCAGAACTCTCTTGCAGCCATGCTTCAACTTCCTGCCAGTGTTTACCCATGACACTTGTCTTAGAGCCCCCTCAATCTTCTACAAGACCCCACCCCCTTCACCTCCACCCTCATCCGGTTTCCTTTTTAGCGATCTCAAGACTTCAGTTAAGATGGCAGAAGATTGCCTTTACTACGTATAGATGAAGAATATTATGGCTTTTCTTTCAATAATTAGAAAGAGTTACAATAGGTATAATTGCACTTTTGATCCCTCAAATTCCGAGTTTGTTCTTGTGATGTCAAAAATAAGGACACTTAACCTTCAATTAATCTAAGTGTTTGCTTTGGACCTTTGACCTAACGCCACATCCACAACTTTAACAGACTAAATACTAAACTATGTGACTGCCTGTACACAAATTTTTAGCAAGAATTAAATTGATACTTTTACCTTATATTTTAAAGGGGTTATATTGTATTATAATAATATTTTAAACTATATCATCCACAAAATATCGAGTAAATGTGCTAGAATAAGCTCCATTTAGAAACACAGAGATAGTCACCATACTGCCGGAAGAAGCAAGTTTGAAGCACCCACATAGAGGTGTAGTGTTTATCAATTGTCTAATCGTCCTAATGCTGCTTATTGGACTCTGAACTGCTATTCTGAACAATTCCCCACATGTTTTCCTGACTATCAGTACCTTAAATCCCCTCTTTCAGCCTTTTAAACCAACATTCTCTTATCCAGTTCCTCATTGATGACCCGGATATTGCCGCATGCTCGTGTAACGTTTCTACTACAATTGCTATGGCAGTCATCCACTTTCCAAATTCGAGATGCATATTCATAGTCAGGATGTAAACTTATATGCCTTTTGGTGTCGTTTGTGACTAATCGAATAAGTAATAACCGAGAAACAAATTAGCTACTTCACTACCAGAAAGCAAGAATTAGGCAGAAAGCGAATGAAACAGAAAAGGACCTAGTGTGTACCTTGTAGAGCAGCATTGAAAGAGAAGAAAACAGAGTTAATCACAGGCCCAAAAGCAAGCTGTCCCATCAACAGTTTCTTCAACGTACTAACGATATCCCGATTTGGCAATACCCTCCCCACAAAGTTAAACCAATAATGTTGAGCTGTTCCTAAAATTAATAGTCCAAAGCCAGCCATGCGCAGAGTCCTAATTATATCTAAAGAATCTGAAGGTGACATCGTAATCATCTGGCAAAATCCAAACCACATAACTCATGAGTCTTGTTTAACCAATTTTATTGCATCAAAAATTCGAAACTTGCCTGTTCTTTTACCTAATTAAAGCAAAAAACCACACTATATAGTGTGTTTGGTATGGTGAAAAATGTTTTTAGGGAAATAGCTTTCCATGATGAAAACAGTGGTGGAGACAGGAATTCTGATAAGGGGGTTCAAAAAAATCCGAAAAGGCCACACCTGGAATTTGAACATGTATTTCTCTTATTTTAAGACGAGGATTCAAAATTCAATATAAGTATAAAAAGATTTTTACCCTATTTATGCAATATAACTTTCCAATGAAGGGGATTCAACTTGCATGTGGCTCCGCCACGAGATGAAATGATTATTCAGTTTGGTTATTTTGAATTATTTAAAATATTTTCTCTCAAAAGACAGGAAAATGCAAGTCCTTTACAAATATACCTCTCTCTTACTCTGTCTCGCTTGCTTCAATCGTTGCTTAGACATTATCCTCACCAAATAGACTATCTTGATATCATAACTTCCAATTTTTATGATTATCATGTATTAATATCCAATCAAACAAATATGGTCCAGAAAATAACTTCATAATGTAAAACATTTTCCACTGAATTATTTTTTTATGACGGAGGTGTTCGGGCCAGCTTTTGCGCACTACTTCCCACCAGCACAAGTATCGGGTAAAGGGAAAAAACCAATTAGTGCTTTTTTTTTTGCTTTCGGTAAAATATTCTCCACGGGAAACAATTTATGTATACTAAACATACTTAAATGAAAAATTAGACAAAGAAAAGGGAAAAATACCTGGGAAGTTAGGTCAGCAGCAGCATAAATAATAGCAGAGGATACACTTTTTGTAATAATTGGACGAGACTCTAAAGCTCCTAAATACCATCCCAAAAATCCCACTTGGGTTTTTGAAGAGGCAGATGAATATGATTTTCGAAGGATAAACAAAGATGAGAAAGAAGAAGGGGTTGTAGGAACTGTAGTTGTTTTGAAATTGTTAGTACAAGAGTTAGAATCAGTCCATATTCTGGAAATTGAATTCTTGGAAATGAAACTGCGCTTTGAATGTTGAATTATGGTGCGTTTAGCTAAGCTTGTTAGAAAATTGATTCCCATTTTTGGGTTCTAATGAATTGAATGATTTTGGGGTTTTGCGGATAAAATTAGTGACAAAAGTACTGGGGTTTCAAGGCTATATTGGGTATTTTGGGTGAAAGGAGGGTTTTTGAGTACTTATGATTAATGAGGCAATTTGCACCCCAAAAGATTATGGATATTACACACAGGTCACCGGTTTACTTCCTTCTTCTTCATTTTCTTTTTTCTCCTTTTTGTTCGTTTTAAAATTCCTCGCATCATCTATTTTATGATTTTGAATCCTCTCCTAAGGATTTGTATTTATTCAGATACTAGATATTTTGGGTCGTTTGCCGCCGTATCCTATATTTGTGCCACCTTTTAACTTGTACCCTATTTTTAAAAATTATTGATTTGGTAGCCAATTGACAAAAAATCCTTAATAATATGACAATTACACCCTAACAAAAGATATAAAACATGCATCGCGCATTAATCGCGTGATCTGCAATCTCATTCGTGAAAAAAGATCTCCTCCTCTCCTCTCAGCAGCTTTATCAAAAAATTAGAAACTTATCCAGATTCATCTTCAGAATCACACTTGCATGAAGTTGTTTCATGTTGAAGCTAAACTTCATGCTAATGTAGCATGAAGTTATTTCACATTGAAGCTAAAACTTCATGCTAATGGATGCTGAAATTATATATCCTGCAGTCTATAGTTTTGTCATGAGTTTTATCTAAAACTTCAGTCTAAACTTGCTTAAGTTTTTTAGTTCATTTGCTAAAACTTCAGACTAAACATGCTTAAGTTTTTTAGTTCATTTGCTAAAACCTCAAACTAAACATGCTTAAGTTTTTTAGTTCATTTTCAGACTAAACATGCTTAAGTTTTTTAGTTCATTTGCTAAAACTTCAGACTAAACACGCTTAAGTTTTTGTCTTGCAGTATTTAATTTTCTAAAGAGTTTTGCTAATGTATGCTGAAGTTATTTAGTTCATTTGCTAAAACTTCATACCAAAATATGCTGAAGTTTTGTAACATGGTCTACAGTTTTGTCCTGAATTTTATCCGAAACTTCAATCTAAACAAGCTGAAGTTTTTTAGTTCATTTGCTAAAACTTCAGCCTAAACATGCTTAAGTTTTTGTCCTGCAGTTTGTCAATAGTCTTTTATTAAAGAAGGGTGAAATCGACTTTTTAAAATGCTTTTAACAAAAAAATGGATACGGATGCAAACGGAAAACAAAACGGGTATAAGTTAAAAGGGGGCGACCAAATAGGGCGCCCGTGTAACTTTTACAGATATTTTATCTTTTGAGACATGATGTAGAAATGAGATCAGGTAGCCACTTTTAGCATGTTATTTAAGATATATGTAGTTATTAATAATTACTAAAGTTTAACTAGCTTCGACACTTCTTTTTTTTTTCTTCTTCAAATCTTCAAGTCAGTTTCAGACCCTCGAGTCTCAAGTTACACTTTAACTTCATACCCGCACTTTTAATTTCATGGTCAACGATTTGAAATTAATTTTGAGATAGCTAAATATGAAAAGATTTAAAATTTTCAGCTACTCTTTAAGTAAGGCTCCTAAAACAGCTATTTATGCACTCCCCAACTAATGATTCTTTTTATTGGAAGTTAGTTAGCGGTTAGACTAATTAGTTAGTTTATCTAATTAGTTAGGACCAAAGTGTAAATACTATAACCTAGAGAGTTTATAGTGATTATTCTGTTTTTACTGTATATAACAGTTAGTTACAGCAGTAATGAAATCAATTGGAAAAATTCCCAAACACTGCCTTCTTCTTCACGATAGAAGCTCTCTCTAATGGCTGAATTTTGACATGGTATCAGAGCCATGGAGACTGATTCGTGAAGATTTCAACCGTCATATGAACAATTTCCTACTCAATTGAATTGAATAGTACTAATTTCAACCATTTTTTGATAGATCGTGAAGATCGATTTCTAAAGCTTGTGCGTCAATGGCGACTGAGAAAATCGACCATAGGCATCCTCTTTTTCTTCAACCTTCTGATACACCTGGATTGATTTTGATTCCAATTCAGCTCACAGGTTCAGAGAACTATGGACTGTGGAGTAGATCGATGCGACTTGCTCTCAAGGCCAAAAGGAAGCTAGGGTTCGTAACATGAACATGTGCTAAGGAGTTGTACAAGGATGCTCTTCTGGAGGAGTCGGAAACTTGTAATGCAACAGTACATTCTTGGATAATGAATTCTGTTTCGAAGGAGTTGCTTAGTGGGATCATCTATGCATCGGATGCACATGCAGTCTGGGAGGACCTCAAGGAGCGCTTTGATAAGGTGAATCGAGTGCGTATTTTTCAGTTGCACAGATTGATCTCGAGATTATCACAAGGATCGGACTCTGTATCTATGTATTTTACTAAGTTGAAGGAGTTATGGGCTGAGTATGATGTTTTAGTGCCATTTCCACACTATGGTTGTCCTAGATCTAAAGAACACATAACTCATTTGCATCAACAAAGGGTGATGCAATTTCTGGATGGGCTTATGAGCAAGCTCGTCGACAAATTCTAATGAAAACTACTGAACCAACTCTCAATCAAGCCTATGCATTAATCATTCAAGATGAAAGTCAACAATCAATAGGAAGTGTTTCTATGGCTGATAAATGAAATCCACTGGCTATGCAAGCTGGTAGAGGACAGGGGTATAGAGGAAAGAAATAGTTTCTACAATGTGACCATTGTCGTATGAAAGGCCACACAAAAGAAAATTGTTTCAAAATCATTGGTTACCTTGAAGACTTCAAGGGAAGAAGAACCTTTCAACCTAGAGTAACACTCACTGCAGCTAATCATGTAAAGGGATCAACAACTCAACCTTCACAAGCAACAACACAATCTAAGGGAGATTACTTCTTCACAGAAGCTCAGTATCAACAAATTTTGGGATTTCTCAACAACAAAGATTCACCAAGTGAAGTTCCAACTCGGGCTAATAATGCAGGTAAAATCAATGCAATATCCTCTAATGTAGAAGTTTTGAATGAGATGAAGGATAGATGGATTGTGGATTCAGGAGCCACACATCACATATCTTCTATATTAGATTTGATGAGTGATGTGAGCAGAATAACTGATAAGGGAAGAGAAAAAGTTACACGGCCAAATGAAGGTTGTGCAAAAATAGAACATATTGGGAGTTCTTTTTTGTCAGCTATTGATAAACTGAAAAATGTGCTTCATGTGCCTGATTTTAAATTCAACCTAATGTCAATGTCCAAACTAACCAGAGATCTGAGTTGTGCTGCCATATTTTTACCTAAACTGTGTGTGTTTCAGGATCTTTACAATGGCAGGGTGAAGGGGATTGGTAAGGAAGATGAAGGATTATATGTACTGAAGCGAAAAGGAATCAGACAACTAGCAGCTCATATTGGTATGAAGGTCTCAACTGGAGACACATGGGATCTATGGCACAAAAGGCTAGGCCATGCTTCTATTCCTGTGATGCAGCATGTTTCTTTCTTGCAGAATAAAGTAGATAGTGAAATACAAAATAAATGTTCTGTTTGCCCTTTAGCAAAACAGTGTAGGCTGAGCTTTCCTGATAGTGAAGAAAAGGAGTATTAGACCTTTTAAACTTGTTCACATGGATGTTTGGGGACCATATAAGAAGGCTACTCATGACAGGAAACACTATTTCCTTACAGTTGTTGATGATTTCTCAAGGGCTACTTGGATTTTTTTGATGTAGTTTAAGAATGAAACTATCATTTTCTTGAAGCAATTTTTATGCATGGTTAAAACACAGTTTGATAGTTGTGTTAAGATTTTAAGAACTGATAATGGGAAAGAGCTCTTTTATAAACAGTGGAGTGATTTTTTGAGATCACAAGGTGTTATTCATCAAAGTAGTTGTGTCTATACCTCTCAACAGAATGGGGTAGTTAAGAGAAAACACAGACACATACTTAATACTTCTAGAGCATTAAGATTTTAGAGTAATGTACCAAGTATATTTTGGGGGGAATGTGTACAAACAGCAGTATACATCATAAATAGACTGCCTTCTAAGATCTTAGATTGAAAGAGCCCTTTTGTTATGTTGCATGGTAGAGAACCTTCCATAGTTCATCTACGAGTCTTTGGGTGTTTATGTTATGCAACTAACTTGGTGATAGAGGGCAAGTTTGCTGCTAGAGCTAGAAAGTCTGTACACATGGGATATTCCACTACCCAAAAAGGATATAGGTTATATGATTTGAACACTAAATGTTTCTTTGTTAGCAGGGATGTATCCTTCAGAGAGTCTGAGTTTCCATTCAAGGAAGTGCAATTACATTCACTCACACAAGACAATCTTGAGGCTAGTTTTTTGCAACTTGATTTGTCAGCTTCTGAAGAAATTGTACCAATAGTTAGTCATTCAGAGGACTTTTCCCAAAGTCTAGTCTCACATAAAGAATCAAGAGGTTCTACTCATGCTGAACCAGCTACAGGTCATCATGATGTAAATGTTGAACCTGCCCCAAATATGGAGGAGATAGATGAACCTGATGCAGATGAACCAGTAGTGAACAATCATGATGCAGAAGTACATAATGATCATGTCCAGCAAAAAGACATTCCCGTTGCAGATGTTGTTGCTCCAGATATTGCTCCTTCAGATGTTGCTGCTCCAAATGTTGAATCAAGCTCTAATGTATTTGATAGACAGTCTGTGCTTGGAAGACAATCTCTTAGAGTGAAACACCCTCCTATATGGCAAAAGGATTATGTGGTGCAGTTTAAAAATCATCACAATGCAATTATCCAATATCTAATTCTTTGTCATATGAAAACATGTCTCCTAAGTACAAGAGTTATGTGTCTGTCTTCTCAGTACTAAAGGAACCTCATACCTTCAAGGAAGCTATCAAGGATGAGAGGTGGAATACTGCTATGCAACAGGTGGTGCAAGCTCTAGAGGACAATAGAACATGGAAAGTAGGATATCTACCTCCTGGAAAAACTTCTATTGGATCTAAGTGTGTTTACAAAATAAAATATAAAGCTAATGAGGAAATAGAAAGGTTCAAAGCTCGACTGGTGGCTAAAGGTTATAATCAA